TCAGGGGCCAGATGAGGGATTCCCAAACGTCAATCACAATTTTTGCCAGCATTAAATGCCATCATTCTTTAATTTTTCTTTGCTACTACCTTGCAGGATTTCCAAGGGAAATAAAGAAGATTTATTTAAAAAGGAAATTTTACATCACCACCATAAATAAACAGTAACCGTGAAACCAGATCCGCAGGGGAAAAAAATCATTGTCATTACATTCTGTTGTAAATACTATCACTTGTCCAAGGCTATAAGCCCGAGGCTGACTTTCTCTTTGTGTATAAGGGAAATTGCAATGGTTATAAAAATGTTAAAGATCTATTAGCACCCAACTGATAACTTTCTTCTGAAGAAAAAATGGATAGATTATTAAAAAAACAAGTGAAAAGGAGGTAACTTGCTGTCTTTGAGTCCATGTTTTATTAAGTCTTGTCCTGAACTTTTTTGTAAATTCCCTTGGAATGGGTTCTCTTTCTATACTTAGGGAAACACCTGGCTGGGACAATGGCTGGGGAGGTTCTTAGAAAAGGATTAAAGGCTTTAATAGAGATTGATGTGACTATTCCTATCTTCAGTCTTAGCATGTTTTTTAGTTCAGTTTAGTTGCTCAGTTGTGTCTGACTCTTTGCAACCCCATGAACCGCAGGACGCCAGGCCTCCCTGTCTATCACCAACTCCTGGAGTCCACCCAAACCCATGTCCATTGAGTTGGTGATGCCATCCAACCATCTCATCCTCTGTCGTCCCCTTCTCCTATCCTCAATCTTTCCCAGCATCAGGGTCTTTTCAAATGAGTCAGCTCTTCGCATCAGGTGGCCAAAGTATTCGGGTTTCAACATCAACATCAGTCCTTCCAATGAACACCTAGGACTGATGTCCTTTAGGATGGCCTGGTTGGATCTCCTTGTAGTCCAAGGGACTCTCAAGAGTCTTCTCCAACACCACAATTCAAAAACATCAATTCTTCGGCGCTCAGCTTTCTTTATAGTCCAACTCTCACATCCATACATGACCACTGGAAAAACCATAGCCTTGACTAGATGGACCTTTGTGGACAAAGTAATGTCTCTGCTTTTTAATATGCTGTCTAGGTTGGTCATAACTTTCCTTCCAAGGAGTAAGTGTCTTTTAATTTCATGGCTGCAGTCACCATCTGCAGTGATTTTGGAGCCCAGAAAAATAAAGTCAGCCACTGTTTCCACTGTTTTCCCATCTATTTGCCATGAAGTGATGGGACCGGATGCTATGATCTTAGTTTTCTGAATGTTGAGCTTTAAGCCAACTTTTTCACTCTCCTCTTTCACTTTCATCAAGAAGCTCTTTAGTTCGTCTTCACTTTCTGCCATAAGGGTGGTATAATCTGCATATCTGAGGTTATTGATATTTCTCCTGGCAATCTTGATTCCAGCTTGTGCATTCTCCAGCCCAGCATTTCTCATGATGTACTCTGCATATAAGTTAAATAAGCAGGGTGACAATATACAGCCTTGACGTACTCCTTTTCCTATTTGGAACCAGTCTGTTGTTCCATGTCCATGCATACAGGTTTCTCAAGAGTCAGGTCAGGTGGTCTGGTATTCCCATCTCTTTCACAATTTTCCACAGTTTATTGCATGTTTTGTCACTTCTCAGTTAGTAGGTGATCAGTGAATACTCAATAATGAATAAATGGGTAACCATCTGTGTACAGACTCTTACGGCTGACAGAACACTTAGGCTGATCTGACATCAGTGAAAATTTTATTCTCCAGTGAGTGATGGAGAATTTGCCACCTCAAGAGACAGTCACTGGACCACAAGCCCTTGTTCAGTTGCTTGTTGGACAGCTCTGGAGGCCAGGTGCCTGTTTTTGGGTGCACACCACCACTCCCTTGTACGTTGATCCTGGTCTTTATTGAGGAGACTCACAGACTGCCTTCTCTTTCTTGTGTATATTGAACCTGTGGATATTTCACCTAAGGCAGGGCTTGCAAACTGAAATGATAATAGGAGCTAATGGTGGTGGTGGTGGTGGTGGTTTAGTCACTAAGTCGTGTCCAACTCTTGTGACCCCATGGACTGTAGTCTGCTGTCCATGGGATTTCCCAGTCAAGAATATTGGAATGGGTTGCAATTTCCTATTCCAGGATATCTTCCTGACCTAGGGATCGAACCCACGTCCCTTGTGTCTCCCGCATTAGTGGGCAGATTCTTTATCACCAGGCCACCAGGTAAGTCCTATAGGAGCTAGCAAGTGATGCCACTTAGTGAAGGAGCTCAGATGGGCGTAATGGGAGGTAGTGGGCACTATGGAAAATGAGATGTTCCCCATCTAAATAGGGCAGTCCTACTCAGTACCAGCTGATTGTTGCCATGTGAGCTTGGCATGGCCAGCCACTGAGATGTTTTAAGAAAGGCTGAAAATCTGATTTTGGATATCAAATCTTCAAGTTTTAAATATTAGCTGTGAATGACAATACCATAAAATACAGCGTGGACCCCAAATCAACCAAGCAAACAAACATGATGTGGACCATGGGGGACTTTCTGGCTATCTGGCCTTGAACCACAAGTTACTCACTGCTTCCTCCAAGACTTCTATTCCCTTGGGCTGGGCAGTCCCATCCACTTCTGGCCATGTTTTTATTTTATTTTTTAATATTTATTTGTTTGGCTGCATCGGGTCCTAGTTGTGGCGCACAGGATCTTCATCGCATCATGTGGGATCTTTTGCTGCTGCGCATGCGTTCTCTAGTTGTGGCACATGGGATCCAGAGTGCTTAGGCTCCAGTAGTAGCAGTGAACAGACTTAGTCGCTCCACAGAATGTAGGGTCTTACTTCTTAGACCAGGGATTGAACCCACGTCCCCTGCATTGCAAGGTGGATTCTTAACCACTGGACCACCAGGGAAGTCCCTCAAGCCAGGTTTGTGTGTGTTGGCTCCCAGAATTCCCTTCATGGTGTTCAGCCCCTCTACATGCCTTTGAACATGGGGAAGCTCCTTCTCACCTCGTGTCTGCCCTCCTCAGGGAGTGAACTCCTACTCATCCTTGGAGATTCAAATCAATTGCCTCCTACTTTGGAGAGCCTTTCCTGATAACCCCAGCCAGAACAGCTCATCCATTTTCTTCTTATTTTTTTTTTTTTACATTTGAATAGAAAATTTATTATTTTCATTTTCCAAGTGTTTTCTTTTTCTATCAGGGGAAAAAAAAGAAATCTTAAGGACAGTTATCACTTGCTGCTAAATTGAGGGTAGTCTTTCTCCGGTGGTTTAGTCGCTAAGTCATGTCTGACTCTTGCGACCCCATGGACTGTAGCCTGCCATGCTCCTCTGTCCATGGGATTCTCCAGGCAAGAATACTGGAGTGGGTTGCCATTTCCTTCTCCAGAGCTCATCCATTTTCTAGCTGTGTGGTATTCGGTAGGTTAATTAATCTCTCTGTGCCTCAATTTCCTTATCTGAAATGGGGATCAGAATAGTACCTGGTCTCACTAGGTCATCAGAAGGATCAGGTTAATTTACAGGTAGATGACACCATGACAGACAAGTAGACGTGGTGTTTCTTAGAAGGCAGAGCTGATTCTTGATCCATCTCTGAACCAGGACTCATCACAGGGCAGGTTTCACTGTTTGATTCCTTGAGGAAGTGGGGAAAAGTAAATAGGTGGTCCGTTAGCTCCTAGTGAGTTCCTGCCATCATGATGATACAGCATGGTTGTGAATTCAACTCATCTGAGCTCCTTACTTTTAAAAAGGAGTATCTATCTAAGTGGCTGAAAAACCGAGCATGCCAAATTCTGGCAGAGAAACTGGATCACTCATAGATGGCTGGAGGGAATGAAAAATGGTATAGCCACTCTGGAAAGCAGTTTGACAGTTTCTTATAAAACTAAACATGTAATTACTGTACAACCCAGCAACTGTACTCTTGGGCATTTACTCCAGAGAAATGAAAACTCATGTTCACACAAAAACCTGTGCGTGAATGTATTAGCCCCGGGCTGGAGACAACTTAGACGTTCTTCAGTGAATGAATGAGTAAGCAAACTGGGACACATCCATAAAGTGGGGGTTGTTGTCGTTCAGTCATGTCCAACTCTTTGCGGCCCAATGGACTGTAGCCCACCAGGCTCATCTGTCCATGGGATTCTCCAGGCAAGAATACTGGAGTGGGTTTTCATGCCCTCCTCCAGGGGATCTTCCCGACCCAGGGCTTGAACCTGCATCTCTTAGATCTCCTGCTTTGGCAGGCAGGTTCCTTACCAAAAGCACTACTGGGGAGCATCAGGTGTTAGTCACAGCATGGGTGATCTTCATCGCCACACTCGAGCTTCTCTTCAGTTGCCTCACGTGGGCTTAGTTGCCCTGTGGCATGTGGGATCTTAGTCCCCCAACCAGGGATCAAACCTGCGTACCCTGCATTGGAAGGTGGATTCTTAACCACTGGACTCTTCAGAATAAGGTTCCCAAAGAGCTTATGTTTCTGTAGGTTATATCTGTCAATATTTACCAAGTTATAAATTAATACAGAGACATTTAAAATACAGTACTCGCTTCTTTAAAAATAACAATAAACCCCTTCCATGTTATAACAATAAACTCCTGTATGTATTGTAACAATAGAACAACCTTATATGAAATTATAATATGACCACCAAAAGTAAGGATTATTGTATAACTGTGATGGAGGTGTTAACTCATATTGCAGTATATAAGTATGTCAAATCAACACGGTTGTACAGTTGAAACTTACACAATGTTATAGGTCAATTATATCTCAATTAAAAAGACATAAAAGAAGGAAGGAAGACAATAAATTAGGGGGGCAAAGCGTTTGGAAGGTGGGACTGGGTGACCTCATTAGATCGGAGTTCTGAGCGTGACGCATGTCCATCTGTGTCTCTCCCGCTCCCCGCCACAGGCCCCAGCATGCCGCCCCAGCCCCGTAGGAGCCCGCATGCTGCCCCGGCCCCCGGCACGCCGCGCTAGCCCCCAGCCAGGGCGCAGGGAGGCGCGGAGGCCATGGCCAGCCACGTGGACCTGCTGACTGAACTGCAGCTGCTGGAGAAGGTGCCCACGTTGGAGCGGCTGCGCGCCGCCCAGAAGCGCCGGGCCCAGCAGCTGAAGAAGTGGGCGCAGTACGAGCAGGACCTGCAGCATCGCAAGCGCAAGCATGAGCGGAAGCGCAGCACGGGTGGCCGGCGAAAGAAGGTGTCCTTCGAGGCCAGCGTGGCCCTGCTGGAGGCCTCGCTTAGGAACGACGCCGAGGAAGGTAGGCCACTCCTGAGTCTGGTTGGTGGGTGGCCGCCTGGGCCTCTTGGATTCTGGGTTCTGTGCCGTGGAGGGGAGAGCGGGGTGGGTCTGGCCCTCCTCGCCCCCATTTGCGCAGCCCTAGGCATCGTAGGAGGTGGATGTTCCTAGGAAAGGCACTGGAATCTGAGACTTTTTTTAAAGACAAGAATGCCAGCCTTTGGCTAATAAATACTTTCCTTCCCTCCCACTAATACTGACTGCCAACCTGCGTCTTGTATATTACCATTCCAGATACAGTGGTGAACCCATTGGATCTGGTTTCTCCCCTCCAGGAGCTCAGAACTCAGAGGACCCTCCATTTCCTGAGCCTCTCCTCTGTGCCCGGGAACTGGTCCCTTTTATTGGGTCTTCACCGCAGAGGTAGATGGGTTAGACAGCTGGAAAACAGCATGAGTAGACTCTGAGGTTCGATGACCTGGGTCTCAAACTGGTTTTGTCAGTTATTCCCTGGGTGACCCTGGCAAGCAGGCAAGTCTCTTCAGCTCTTTGTACCTTAGTGTCTGCCTCTGTAAAATGGGGCTAATAATAGCATCCACCTCCAGGGCTTGCTCTGAGCATTAAAGCAGAGAATACCTCTAAGTTCTTGACATGGTCCCTCATACTGTGTGAGTGATTAGTATGTTTTATTTTATTATATTATTACTATGTTTTATTATATACGTTTATATAAAATTATGATTACATAAAAGTATATTTATATAGTGTCCAGAACGTCTAGAAACAGACAGATGTACACAGTGTTGTCTGGGACATTTCCAGTCTGTAAAGCAGATGAATAAATAAATATGAGCACATACATATATTCATATAATCTGTTTACAGATTTTATGGATACCCTGTACTTGTTATGTTTTATTTAATTATGTTATTGTTATTATATGTCCTATGATCCAGATACCATAATACCCAAGAGGCAAGTATAATAATACCCATTTTACCGATGGGGAAACTGAGACCAGTGAGGTTCACAAACTTGAGCAAGGGAGGAGAGTTGGGATCAGAACTCCCAGGGCCCAGGCTCTTGTCCCTGGATGATCAAACCTTGTGGGTTTGCTCCCCACTGTAAGAGTGAACAGAGGATCTGTGGTTTGGCCGAGGCCCTCTTCTCCGAGCATCCTCGAGTGCCCACGCCTGCTCTCTGCAGCTGAGATGTGTCCATGCAGCCTGTGTTGCCTTTGGTAGGTGCTGATGCCTCCCTGTATATGAATCCCTCCCGCCTGTCATTGGCGGGACCCAGCCGTGTTTCTTGGGTCCCTCTGGTCTCCTGCCTTCCCACATCCTCCAGACACTTGGTGCTAAAGCAGCCAATGAAAGAGCGGAGGGGTGGAGGCACTTACCACACTGGTGGGTATTAGGGCTTAAGTTTGTTGCCCCTTAGGTTCTAGAACCCTCTGAGAAGCACAGATCCCTTTCTGGGCTGGTTACAGAGCGCTCTGGGACTGAGCAGAGAGGCGTTCCCAGAACCCCTCAGCTGTAAACAGTGCAGCCAGAACCCGGGGTGAGCAGCCCCCATGAGACAGGCCTGAAGTCTCAGGCTTGGGGGACGCCACCCTGCGGGGCTCCTTCCTACGTGTCATTTACCGGGTGACTCGGCAGGTCCCTCCCACTCAGTGGGCGGTACGTCATGATGTGTGATTTTGTCGTGGGCGGCGGTGCATCAGCCCTCCTTTCACACTCGTCTTCCATCGCCTTCTCCCCTGAGCCCCGTTTCCCTTCGCGGAAGGGGCTTTTCAGAGGTTCTGTGAGCTGACAATGGGCTGCTGCCCAGCGTCCAAGCACCATTTCCCACCCCGCCCTGGTGTACGCCCACCCCTACAGGTTAGAAAGAGAGCTGGGCTTCGGTCCAAGGTTCAGAGGCCCCTCTGTCCTTCGGTTCTGTATGTGACCTTGAAGAGCTTGTTTCACTTCCCTGGGTTCAGTTTCTTAATCTATAAAAGGGGTTTTGAGTACTTGCCCTCAAGGGACTGTAGCAAGAATTAGACAAGATCCCAGATGTTACAGCTCTTTGAAAAGGGATTCTGAACGCTGCACCAGTGATCATTTTAACACATTTTCCCCACAGTGTGTGTGTGTTAAACAGACTTTAGTGTTTTTAAGAACGCAAATGCATGCTTCTTGTAAAAATCAAACAACATAGAGATATAAAAGTCCTTTCCTTCCTCCCTCCCTCCTTTCCTTCCTTCCACAATTGATGTATTTCCTTCCACGATTGATATATTTCCTTCCAGGCATTTTTCTCATTTACCTATGTGTTTATAAACTTGATGAACTATAGAGCTAGTCGACTTTTGTTTTTTATGTAACTGGTACATACTAGATACATTATTCTGTAGGGTTTTTTTTTTTTTTTCCACTCAGTAACATATCTTGGAGTTGTTTTCATGCCAGTACAATGGAATAATATATCTGCATTCTTTTTAACTGCTTCATAGTATTCTGCGGTATGGATTTACCAGTATTTTTAGCTAGTTTCTTTTTGTTGGCACATAGTTTTACTTTTGCCACAGTGAATGTTTTATGCACACATGCAAATGTTTATCTTGATATTAAATTTGAATGAGAAGAGTGTTAGATCCTCCCCGCCCCACCAGCCCAGGCTGGTCCCCTGGCTCTGGGCAGAGCCAAGTGAGAGTGTAGAGCCAGAGCACTATGCCCTGTGGCCTCGCTTTTGGGGTGCATTGAGAGGTGTCCCTGGGGACCACAGGTGTCTGGGTTTTAAGTGGGGTGTGGAAGCTGCTAGCAGGCATTCTCACCAGACTCTGCTCAACTTTCTGGCAGCACATCCGAGCCCGATGCTCCCAGCTGACTGGGATAGCTTCTGTGTGCTGGTGGGGCTGCCGGTGGGGCGGCTGCTGGGGCATTAGCTCCCAGTGGGATGGGAGTGTGGGGTGGCAGCTCCCCCGCTCCCATTGAGCTCGCAGCAGGGGTTGAGTCAACCTCCTCCACCTGCCAGGGTGATGTGAGTCATTCCTGGAGTAAGGCAGTGCTGAGGAACTCACTGACTTTCTTTGTCTAGCCCTGCATCGCCTGCAGGTTAATGTCCAGACACCAGGGATGCTCTGTGGCCTCCTGAGCCCCATTCTCAGCTTCCCACTACTGGGTATCAGTTCACGCTCCAGCCGCCTCCAGCTCTCTGGCTTCTGCCCCACGCCCTGCATTCTCTTACCTTTCCACCTTGGCATATGTGGTTCCTTCTGTCTAGAACATTCTTCCCCTAACTAACTCCTACACCCTTCAGGTTTGGGTTCCTGTGTGACCTTCTTGGGGAGCTGTCTCTGATCCTTGTCTGGACCTTTCCCCCCATCACTTGGTAGAGCAGTAACTCCATACCCAGCTGACATTTACTGAGAGTTGAGAAGCATAGTCTTTGAAGTTAGTTATCCAGGATTCCTCCTCTCAGCTCTGCTGCCTACTAGCTAAGCAACCAGGGAAAGTTCATTAACTTCTTGGTGCCTTAGCTCCCCATCTGTAAAAATGAGGGTGATGTAGTATGCCTGCTAACCCTGTTACATTGGGTTGACATGTGTGGGAGTGGTATGGTAAGAAGTGTTTATCATGGATATACAGTTTATATCACTTAAATGTGGAATCTAAAATATGACACAAATGAACTAATTTACAAAACAGAAACAGATTCACAGACATAGAAAACAAACATGTGATTACCAGGGGGGAAAGGGGAGGGGGAGAGATAAATTAGGAGTTTGGAATTAGCGGATACAAGCTACTATATATAAAATAGATAAAGAACAAGGTCCTACTATATAGCATAGTAAACTGTAATGGAAAAGAATATGAAAAAATGTATATGTATAAGTGAATCACTATGCTGTATAAGAGAAACTAACACAACAGTGTGAATCAACTATTCTTCAGTTTTTGAAATTTAAATGAGAAGTACATATGATGTAAATTGCTACCTTGCATTATACACTATTCTACACTTACACATTCTTCTATTTATGTTTTTATTTGGGCTTCCCTGGTAGCTCAACTGGTAAAGGATCTGCCTGCAATGCGGGAGACCTGGGTTTGATCCCTGGTTTGGGAAGATCCCCTGGAGGAGGGAATGGCTACTCACTCCAGTGTTCTTGTCTGGAGAATTCATGGACAGAGGAGCCTGGCAGGCTGCAGTCCATGGAGTTGCAGAGAGTTGGACACAGCTGAATGACTTTCACTTTCACTTATTTATTTGTTTATTTTTGGCTTCCCTGATGCACACAGGCTCTCTCTAGTTGTGGTGAATGGGGGCTACTCTTTGTTGCGGTGCTGCCTGGGCTCTAGGTGCCTGGGCTCAGAAGTCAGGGCACACGGGCTTGGTTGCTCCATGGCATGTGGGGTCTTCCCAGACCAGGAATTAAACCCATGTTCCCTGCATTGGCGGTGGGTTCTTAACCACTGGACCACCAGGGAGATCCATTCTGCAGTATTGATGTGCCACTGGTAATCCATTCACCAGATGCTGAACATTTAGATGGTTTCCATTTGGGGTTTTGATGAATAATGCTGCTAAAAACATTTGTATGCAAGTCCTTTTGGGGACATTTGTTTTCATTTCTCTTGGGTGGTAACCTAAGAATGGAATTACTGGGTCAGAGGGTAAATCTATCTCAAAGTTAAGTTTCTTAACTTTTAAGAAACTGCCAAACTGTGGCAAAATGGCTTCACTCTTTTACATTCTCAGACCTCATTTATGGGTGAAATTGTACATTGTATGTTTCCATTGAAGCTCTGAGAGGCTGTGTCACTTGTCAAGATCTCATAGGTTTGAAGTGTCAGACCTGAGACTTGAACCCAGATCTGTGGTCCCTGAAGCCCATGGTTTTAACCACTGGGTGGTCCTGGAACCTCTTGCTTTTGTTCTTTCTAGAAAATATGAGAATGATTCACTTGTGGTTTTGATCTGTGACTCTGTGGGCCTTAAGGCCCCTCATGTTTCTGCTGTCCTCTTGGGCCCTT